TATTCAAAATAAATGCATTTGCACACGTAGTACATTATGAATAACAATTTACAATCGGTTGTCGTTGATTTTAAGTCTTTATTTCGGCTGTCTGAAAACTTTTGCAAGAAATGACAAAACGAGTGACGAAACAGCTGTGTACGAAGTAGTCTTAAATCGACTTCGAGTTCCGGGCTGCTCTGAAGTTGTTTTCATTTACTTCCTTACGTAAGGAGTAATTAGAGTCTGCTAACAGCATTGCCATAAATGACAGACAGCTTCGATTACTGTCATTCAATGAGCTATTTTCCTAACGCCGGATTTCTGCTCCTGCGAAAAGTGAACCTCATCACTCACCCGTACTCTAAAGTCTTTCTTCAACATGCACGTAAGGATCACGAGGCCGGCTTAAGTGAAAGACAATTGCAGCCATTTAATGACACAGAGGCAAACGTTGAACTACGGTATTCGACGGGCAGCTAGGACGCTTCAGTAATCGCAACAGATAACACAAATCCCCAAACGTTTTTGGCAAAATCGAGAGAATGCAATCCAGCTAGTCTGATTTGACGTTTAGAAGGATTTCCAGAAATCTGAAGCTTGATGACACAGACTTGCCATCGATATTGACTCACTGGTCAACCAAGTACTTGTGGAGGTGATGTTCTTTATCGGGTAGGTTATTCTCCTTCTGGTTTAATATTAGTTGCCAGTGTTACACATGTCACTCAACGAGACGAGCAGATCAAGAAGACGGCAAAGATTCCTACTTCCAAAGCCTTGAATTTATGTCTTTCGCGCACTAGCTGATGCTAAATCGAATCGTCTGATGACGCCGCGTGCCGACGTTCCATGTCACCAACTGCTATTAAATTGAAACACTAATGTTGTGTAATGTCCGAATATGCGCTGAATCCAATTTATTCTAATTGGTAGTGTAACTCAGTTTCTCGCTGATCCTCAGGTTCGACGCGTTCACTTCAGTGACTGTACATGAGGAGACTTTGTCTAGAAAAAGCTGAATCAATGACATTTTAATTGTACTCTTCCTCTTAATCAGAATGAATAGCGTTCACAATGGAGTCTCATTCGCAACAGAAAGCAAAATGAAGCATCAAGTTTTAAAGTTATTTATAACTGTCAGTGTGGCAACTTAGTTTGTCAGTAAATTGATGAATGATTGATAGAATACCCAAAAAATAAGATTTTCTCATATTCATGTTTATCGGATGTCCGACTTGTCCTCACTACGGGTGCGCCATGAACGGAAATCTGCGCTCCTGCAACATGCTCCATTTCCCACTTCCCTCCTTTACCGTTGTTCCAGTAATTTGATCATTGTATCGTCCCGACGCGCCTGGATTACCAAATCGACTCTGGTAGTCAAGCGGTACCCAGTTTCTAATTGTCCACGTCTCGCAGTTGTCTTTCAGGCAAGCTGCATGACCGGTCAGTCGTCTCTTAGTGTCACAGAAGAAAGAAATTACGTCTGTTGATCCAGTCCGTCGTCGAATTTGTGCGCTTGGAACGACATCCGGAGGGACATCTGCACATTTTTCGTTCCGTCACTCATCACGCGACTATCAGATTGTTCTAATCAGCTTTAGACCACAAAGCATTTTCGTATACATGGCGGATAAGACGGTTGAATGGAACGGTTTTTTTTCAGCCTCATGGGTAACTCACTGACAAATAATGATGCTTCAATGCGGTTAAAGTAGACCCTTGACGCCTTCCCTCATCGGCTGCTTTTCCCGTCTTTTCTCATTCGCCTAGGCAAAGTCCTCGGGACATCGAGAGTTCGTTTCCCATTCATTTCTTCTTGGAGAGGTACGACTGTTTAACTGATCGTGAGAGGTTCTTCATGCAGCTCCTAAATCTTCTGTTGGAACTCCATCATGCCTTGTGCGAGGGCGATGTACAACTCATTGCCTGCTCTCCATCGCTTCTCAAGCCGTTGCACCTGTTTAACTGGTTGAAGAATGAGTCCAAGGTGGAGGCACCAGTGAAACTGCTTCGGCTTGACACACTTATCAATGGATATTGGTGTTACATGTTTCCCTGTCAGTGTGATACCAATTGTGCAACGGTGGTGTTCAATTCTTCGATCACGTTGACATAAACAGGGTTTATTTCATGTTCATGTAAAGCGTTTAGCATAGTCATTAATTTTGTAGAATCGAACACCTTCTTGTAATTGGTAAAAACAGAATGACACTTGATATTCGCTGCACTTCTCTACCAGCTGCTGACGATATGCATATGATCGATATTAGAAAGCCCTGTTCGAAACCTGGCATGCTTCTAACGTGATTATTTCGAAATTTTCCCAAATACGGTTAAGAATGATGAGTGAAGTCTTAGTAGATTTCCTGCAAGAGTGTAATGGGTGCAGTTCTTTAGGTAGTCTGAATCGATTTTCTTAATGAGAAGAATCGTTCTTAATGAATTCTGATACCTTCTATACTTTAGGCGTCTTGTTTAACCTGATGTATTCCATTACATCTTTTACAAGTGCTTTAAACAGTAATGTTCCACATACTTAAAGGCATCCTGACGTTGCATGGTCTTTGCCTGGAAATGTGCCATTTTTAATGTTTCTGATCGCCCACTTAATTTCGTCCCATATGAACTTCCTGAGCAACATGTGGCAATTTCTGAGTAACGCCAACTTTGGAAGAGTATCGTGGAACCTTGCGCAGATCGCGTCCTCCTGAATGTGATTTATAGCTCTTGCTCTTCCTTCGTCTTTTTGGCGCGCCATGAATCCTCTGTTTCAAGGCAATATCTCGTTTCAACACTTGCAGACTTTTCTTCTAGTTGGTTAGCCTCTCTCAGTGGAATTCCGCTGTAATTTTTCTAGAGTTCCTCAACTTCCTCCGTATCGCCTTGCGCTATGCAGCGGACACGTTGCCTTCTTTACCTTGAGTCTATAGCTGGCCTCTTCTAATCATTAACTGCCTTGTTGAAGGGTTGATGCCTTGTGCTTGTTGAATTTGCTGTCCGGCTTAATGTTCAAACAGCAGTTTTGATGGCATGGACAAAGCTGTCCTAATCCGCATCTATATTCTCGCTGATGTTCATTTCAAGATTCGCTTATGAAAGCTTCTCCACGAAAGCCTTAGGATCAAATCGCAGTTCGTCACAGAGCGGTGATTTTTGGGTTGTTTTGATCCACTCTTCAACTGCCACATCGATCGCTACGGTGAAACGTATTAACCTGCGGCCTGATCCTGTACAGAGGATATTCCTACCTACGATTGATACATTTAATATTATTCGTTATTCTTGTTAACCAATACATAATCAGTTTGGTTAAAGGCTTTCCGTCGTGGCTTTCAATGTCCATTATCACTTTGGAACTTTCTTGAAAACGGTGTTCATTACGTAGAGGTGATTACGAAGCGATCACACTGTCATTTCTTTTGTCTTTTCCGTTTATGTCGATGGGTGCCTCCATGTCGTTCGTTTTTTCCCCTCTACCGCGTTTAAGTCTCCTAGGACAATCGTGTACATAGTCTTCTTTTCCACCGCGCCTTTAGATTCCCTTTAGCTTTGATCGATCTCTTCATCTCGGCTTGCTGGGCTGTAAGATTAGATTATTTTTCCAGTTCTTCTTTGACTATTCGTGACAGTAGAACGGCAATACGAGGTGATATCATATCACAGGTCAGAACAAACGGTACACCCTTTCCTCGCATCATGAGCCCAATGCCGCCGGTGTATGCTCAGTTCTCGAAGGCCTTCCAGAGAAACACTTTTTTACCTTTGTTCCATCGCGCAACAAGTTCGACAAGTCTTCGATTCTCGCATTCCAATGATGATGGCTGGCCATGAAAATCTTGATGACGTTCTTGGTATGTTAACCAATCGCGTTTTGTGGTTTATAGAGTTGCAGGTGTTGTTCAGGTCAACGCGATAGTGTGTACCAACTTTCCCGGTTTCCGTTTATCTGTGAGCATAATTTGACGAGCAATAGTTTGGCAGTTTATCCGTTATGCCAATCTTCATGAACTATTGCCGATGTCTTGCAAACCTCGTCTAACGGATTCACAGATGCAAGGCAATTTCTGAAGTTTAAGTCACAGAAAAATATCACTGGCGAGTGACGGCTGCCACCATTGCCTCCTCCGTCAGCTGGATCAAACTGCTAATCACTTCTAGACCCTCCATAGCAGGAATATTCTCATAAACATGTAAGCGTTGAGGTACACATGCCGCTGCCTCACCATGGAAACGAACTGAACATTGACACGACGGCCTGTAAGCAATTGATTTTAAGCATGGCATCGGCGCATGGTAGTAAAGTGCTGAATCGATAACAGGCTTCATTCACTATTTCAAATCTGCGTTTAACTCTACATTCACATTATCAATACCAAATATTATGGCGTGGTGTCAGAATCAAAGGTCCGACTCGGAGAAACATTACTTCAAGCTGAATAAATGTTACCCGTATGAACTGTCGGTTGAAAAGAATGCAATTTTCGTGTGAAAACAGCCTAGTAAATGCGCTTATTATGAAATTCAAAGCTTGCATTGCTGGTTGACCATTGATTGGTCATTTGACCACAAAGAAGGACAACGTTTAATGAATAAGATAGGGTGTTGCTGAGGAAGGAATGTACAACAAACGTTACAACCTTGTTTTCGGAATTACTGCCGAATAATTACAGCCGAGTTATTAGGTGCAAACTGTTTGCTGAAATGGGATTGGACGATGGCGCCGAGAGACTAGCCAATAAGCGACGAGCGTGCGGTCGATAGCGACAGAAACGAGCGGTTGTTGGAGAGAGATAACCAGGAGGGCTCCACTGACTTGCGCGCATTTTCCTTGATCAACACAACAGCCGCTGTACTCATCGGATTGCTGAAACAGCCGGTCCTACTGTCGTCGTCCAAGACGGAGATGGTACA